GCATACGGGACGTCATTTGCCGCGACAGGCTTTCTTTCCTCCGTCAAGCTTCTCTCCCTTTCTTCCTCCGCTCCCATCCCCACTCCTCCTCGAGGCCACTCGGTATGCAGACGAGATGCTCTTGATGGTTCTTCGCTGTGAGCCGAGCTTTTCTGTGATTTCTGATTTGGCTTTCAGCAGCTTCAGACGACAGAGCCACGATTCTCCCTGAAGCCTGACAGCCATGTTAGGATATGATGAGAAGCACGAAATTCAGAGAAGACTGACGTTTTTCTCAGATGCCCAAACTCCAAACATCCCTTTCATCTCAGCAACTTTGCTTTTGTCATTCTCTCCATTGATTCTTCCCTTTCTCTTTCCCCCACGCCCTCCGTCTACTTTCAATAAAATATACATTTAAACATGAGATCTGCCTGATTCATTGTGGGGTCTCACAGTTGGCCAACTATGAGTGTGATTATCAAAACATGTCACTCTGTGTGTGGCCTTGTTGCTCGATGATTGGAATTTCATTTCATCACAAACAGCCATCCCTCTTTCTTTTCCTCCTTGATTGTGTTCTCTCCTTCTTTCTCCATCTGTTCATGTTTGTCCTCATGCTGCATCCACTTTTGAATTCAAAACCTTTTTTTTTTTTTTTTTAATGGAGGGTCTTGAATTGTTGAGTGGTTGATATGCACGACAGAAGCCCACAATACAATTAACATTTGAAAGATGTATATGAGAGAGGCAGAAGGGCGGACAGAGAGGAAGAAAAAGTAAAAGGAAGGAAGTGGGGGGATTGAAAACAACTGTGTGAGAGACACTGGTTTGGTGTTGGACAAAGAGAAAGAATCCATAAAAAATGTATGATATTCATACACACATCTCTATACTATGCAATTCATTTGATATGCAACTGTAGGATCTCACTGTCATTTATGGGGGGTCTCATAATGTAGAGTTGCCAGAGGAGTTCAAGTGGCCCAACTAGCAATGAACACTGCTAATGAAATACAACTATCTGGTGCCTAATGGCTTTGAATTACGTTCTGGTAGGACCCTTTAGCAATTATTTTCATTTTCATGCTCCATGAGCAGCCAGACGCCAGACTTTTTTTCATGGGTTTATCACTCAGTAAAACACAACTGCTGCTGGGAGTCGGCACTCTTGAATCCACAGCGACACCTTAGTTACTGGGAGAGGTGACATTTTTGGATTCTGTCAGTTTTGTTCACCTGCATCGTCAAATCCTCCATTGATGCAGCCAATCCTAATCTGGTGGGACTGTGGTGACTCTTATTAGTGGTCTTCTCCATTTCCCATCATCTGTTTGCTTGGGACCCCTCAAGGAGCTTTGCAGGAAGATACTAAAAATACATGCTCTCAACATCAACTAACTAATACAAACGTACTAAAAAAATTAGCACTTGAGGAAACATCAGTATGGTAAGACCTATTGATATGACAGATACCATCTTTGAGAAAATTGTATTCAACATCTACAGTATTTTGCCTTTTTAGTTTGATCCATGTCCCATCCAAAACCATGGAGGAGGTGGGATTTATGATCTGTACTGCATCCAGCCAGCAGGTGGTGAGCAAGATGTTTTGACTTCACTTTTGGGGAGCAGTCATGTCATCCATCTTTTTTATACAGTCTATGAAACTGACAGACACACTTCCCCTAGCAAATGTGAGATAAACTTTCACAGTTGGTGTTGAGCTAATGCCAAGAGTTACGACTACCTGTAAAGCAAGATTTTATTTTCCCCACCCTGTCAGTAATTTGTTTTGTCACTGACAACTTCTGCCTCACAGTATCAGCATCCAGCTCCTCAGCTCACGCTAAAAAAGTAGATCCCTTCATCTTTTTTAAGTTCTGTGTTGTGAGTGAGTTGTTGCCTTTGCTTTAAATGAGCACTTATCCACTTTTACAGAGGATAGCTGTGACAAACTGCTTCTTGGCAGGACTTATTTTTTGTCTGTTTGGAAACTGCTGCTTGTACATTACTTTTTTATTATATTTTTTATAAAATGTAGCTTTGCCAAATCAGCAGTGAGGTGTATATATGTATGAGGTGTGTATATATATATATATATATATATATATATGTATATATATATGCTTTTGTCTCTCACCAGAATGGAAGCAGGAGATGTTAAGAGTATAGAGTAAAGTAGGACAAAAATCACTTTAACTTATGTTAACAGGTTTCAAGGCTTCATGTGTTGCATGAACATTTCCAAAGCATGTATTCATCCTGCAGCAAAGAGTCCTTTTCTCTTGTTTCATCCTCGCTGTGGTTGTATGACGTGTTAGATGCTTTAACACTACCTTTGATTTTCAAGGAGACAAAACGGACAATACACAGTAGGAGGCCATGCATGTGTATAAAAGTACATACACATTTCAAACCCTGTGCTTCTCAAAGAGCTAAATTAAAAATTGTTGCAATAATAGACAAGTGCATAAGAGAAGGAATAAATAAACCCAAAATACATTTTCAATAAATTTTTTAAAGAAAGTGGAAAAGCAGCGGTAAACATGAAATCTTTTCAGTATAGATTTAAAACTAGCATCAGTCAGAAAGTGAGAGGTGTGAGTTTATCTTAGAAGTAATGAGCCTGCCTCTGTGGATCGAGGGGCTTCACATTGTAAAAGCAGCTGTGAGATGTATTTGTGCACAGTGGGTAAACAAGTATCTCTATTTTAAAATCAGTTCAATGACGATCTGAAAGCACAACTGGAGGCTTATGTTCAGCTTTCATGGTTTATGTTCAACTCTCGCAGAAATTGTCTTCATGAGCTGTTACAGTCTAAGAGGGTTTCTTACTTTTAGGTGCGAATCCTGAAATGCCATATTTTACAGGATAACGTTGATGACATTTTTGTCTTTGGAAACTAACACACAGACGCTGAGAGTATTTAGGATTACAACAGTTTCCTCACATCATGTCTGCAGCAGCTGGGAAGAAAGGCTCAGTATCTCTCTGCTCACTGAAGCTGCTTAGGTGACAGTTTATACTTCTGCTGCTGTTTGGTGTCAATATCACCTGTATTTAAATGGAATCTAAATGACTGAGATTTGAGGGAAAAAGTAAAACTGGCTGTTGACAGTGTTTTATTGGCTTTGCACCTGCACTTATCACATTAATTTGCAGTGTGCGTTGCTTTAATGTTACTGAACCACAACAAGAAACAAGTCCTCAATAGTTATACAGCAGCTCCGTATTGGCAGTGCTTGTACTTAACCATTTGAAATTTATTGCCAACATGAGAAGGACAGAGCTGCAGATACATGCCCACTCGCTTCTCTACCATTTCCGCCACACACACACACAGAGTTCACAAATACACAAAGACAGTACAACAGGCTCTACAGTATTATGTGTATATATGTGGCCCACTTTTTTTAATTAATACTTTCATTGCGTGGTTTTTACGCTGGTAAAGTGGGAGTAAGTGTTAAGTAAAAGAAGTCTGTCCTTGTTCCTTCAGTGTGGGTTAGTGAAGAGAGGCTGATGAGATTTGGCTCAGTCAACCGATCCACTGCTCACTGATTCTCAGGAGATGAGGGTGTGTTTGGGTTTTTGTTGGAAACTGAAAATCTCTCCAGAAAGTGACAGACAATAAAAATGTTTTGTCATTTTTTTCGGGATTAAGTGCGAATTCATGCTTGAAAAGAAACACACTACTTGAACTCTTTCTGTATGCAGGGTTTCTTTTATCCTTCTCAGACGGTGTCCACTCAACAAGCCCACAAAAATAAATGTCCATTCATTTCTGAGACATCAGGAAGTCAGGCGACGCGAGGACATGAGCTGGCGTTTGGGCTGAGGACAGCAGATCCTGGCTGCCTGTCTGACTCCTTCTTGTACACCTCAGGTGTCTCACATATCTGCATGAAAATGGCCCATCTGTACACATCACTTCTCCACACGCCTCAGACATGGGCAAGTAAAAGGTCTTGGGTGCCCCCTACCAGCTCACAAAAGAACATATCTAGTTTCTCATGACTTTCCTCACATCACAAGTGGAGACCATACCCTGTATTATCCAGCGAGGTGTAAACAGGACCTAGTTTTCTCTGCTCTCAGTCTAATACTTCCAAAAATATCAGTGAACTGTTTATAATTAATACATTATAGCTTTTAATAATGGTTTTTTTGTATTCTTTTGAAGTTGAGCTTTAGCTCAATACTTAGTTATCATGCAAATAAACCCCTTTTATTCAATTGCTTTTCCAAACTGTTTTCCTGAATTATTACCTCCACTGTAGGTTATGTCTGTTTGTTTGTCTGTTAGCAGGATTATACCATGACAACACATGGAAGAATGTGGTATGGGTCAGGAGAGAACCCATTAAATGTTGGTGCAGATCTGGTTCAGGGGGTGTATCCATGATTTTGCTTTAACATTGTGAGATAGGGTGTTTTCAAAGTTTTCATTAATTTCTCAGAGAATAAGTAATGGATTACAATTTTTTTAATTAAGCTCGTTCAGGGGGCTGATATTAATGAGTTTGTGCAAATGGATGCAGATGGTAACAAAAATCAGGATGTAGTGACTTTAAATGTGGTTTCATAAGGGGTCTATGGAGCGTTGGCAGTGGTATGTACTCTGCAAGTGTGCTCCTCTAGTTTTTTTAGTAAAGCAATAGAAGCAACATATTGATTTTTGGATATACAATTGATTTGTTTATTATATTTGGTGATTGTCACTGACCCAGTTTAGGCCATATTTTTGATTTACTGCCATAAAATTGACACCTGTTGGTATTTTTTTTAAAGTATATTTTCTGATTAATACAAATATAGTCTCTGATGAAATGACAGTCACCTTGTTTTATGTCATGTCTTCCTCAACAAAGCCTTACAGTGGAATTGAAGAGTAGCAACTGAACTTTGGAGGTTAGTCCAGGACCTGCACCGTCTTTCTTAATTCTATAAATTATATATTATGACCCACTACACACAGCGGCACACAGTTTAAGTACAACTTTTATTAATACTGGAATCATCACAGTGCGTTTTGTTACATTAGCAGTGACTAAAGTTAACAAAAAAAAGACAGAAAAGAAAAAACCTCAACATCAGCGACTGAAAGGCCAAACAACCTCAGAAATTAATTCACGATAAATTAAAGAAGAAGAGCAGAAGAGGTGAGAGGGGGAAAAAGAGAGAAAGACAAGACCATAGTGCCTTCAGGGCTACTCAGGAGGGACGAGAGGAGCAGAAGATCGATTTGTACAGAAAGATGAAGCTGACCGTCACAATGATGTCGTTTGAACAGAACAGACCCATTGAAATGATTTTAACGGCTCAGTTGTGAAGAGATTTCTGTGTCGAGTGCAGATGAAGGTTTGTAGAGGAAGAGAGCGAGCGAGCGAGAGACTACTAGCAAGAACTGGAACACCGACAGAAAGACTCAGTTTAGTTAAAGTGGCCTTGGCACCAGGAGGCCACTCCCCTCCGCATGGCTGTATGACAGGAAGTTACACTGTGTTTCATCATGACCCCCATGTCACTTGAAAGAATCTACCTTAGTCAATTTTGTGTGTGTGTGTGTAGTGGATTAGATGGTAGGAACGATTGACAGATTGTGTGTGGGAGGTGGGGGGAGGAACAGCAGGGGTCTGAACCACTTGCAACACAATACAGTGTACAGACACACACACACACACACACACACACTCAATATAACCTGGGCAGATGGCTAAAGGAGTGGGTTGTATATACAGGTCTCATCGTAAATACATATAACTTTCCCTCAACAGCAATTATTTATCAAAATGGTTGAGAGTTCTCTGTGCATTTAAATGCACACATCACAATCACAAAACATTTCTAATGGCAAGTTCAAGCTATGTGCAAACACTCAATTTCCCATAAATCTAAGTAACTACGGAAACTCATCTGAATGTATGGATAGTCAACAAAACTAATGAGTGGGTCGGCCACTGCTATATGTTTTATGATCATCGACCATCAACAGGCAGCCTCAGCTCCTGCCTACCTTACTTTTAATCCCATTATGTCACATCTGACAATAACAAAATGACACATTGTCGATTCCTGCGGCTCAAATCTTCCTCAGCCTCTACATTTCTTACTGTGGTTGGAGAATAGCTTATTAATGAAACGGTAAATTGTGTTTTTAGTAGCTGGCCAATAATGTTATGGAAGATATGGATCTGGAAATATGAGATCTTCATCTCTGACTTTGATGAAGAAATCTTTTTATTCAAATTGTTTTTGCTGCACTTTATTAAAAGCTCTCTGCCCCAGACCTCATGTTTTCAGGCCCTGCATTTATCCAGGCACTAGGTTTTAGCTTTAAGTTGGCCATTGCACACGCAGTGACTCATTCACCTCTATTCCACAATGCATGACATCGATTTATTAAGACCAGAGCGGTGCTAAAAATGCAGCACAAACAGCGCATCCCCAAAAGCAGGCGAGACAGCAGCGGAATCAGAAATATAGCAAAATGGCTACGAAGCTCACCCTCAGATTGTTTGTGATGGTAATGTGGGTGAAATATCCCTCTGCATGTTGAATTACTACCCACACTTGCATCTTGCAGGGTTTTTTTTTAACAGCTCACCAAGAAACCATCAAAGTAATATAAACAGCCTGTGAGATTAAGCCAAAAGGATATGTCTGAAAAAGCTTGATCAAAATTAATTAAAATGTAATCTAGTGCTGAGATGGAGACATCCAGCTGCTTGCTTTAAAACCAGCTCACGTTACTGGTGCAGGAGGGAGAAGTTTGCCCCAGCTGACACTTCTTTGAACAGCTCACTCTGGACCCATAATGATACCACCCGTTAGCCATTACCACACACACACACATGCACGTGGAGTGTTGCACACTGACACACACAGACATGGAGAGAGAGGGAGGAAGAGGAGTCAGGGGGAGGCAGAGAGAGAGAGAGTGACTATGATGAAAATAAAGACTTCATCAGAATTATTTTTCATTAGCTTTGATGGGCTGTGAGGCACAGAGACAGAGTACAGCAATCCAGACTCTCTATGACAGGCAATGTTTTGTGATTTGTCAGCTAGATTCCCTGTGAGTATCGATCTGTGGAGGTTCAGCGGTGTTTTAAGAAAAGAATGAGAAACAGAATACAGAGGAAAAAGAAGACAGGGATATGGAGGTGTCTGGGGATCAGAGGGATTTCAAAATCCAGATTTCTTTTGCTTTTGGTTAAAGATGTGTTTGTTGAAAGGCAAACTCAAGACTGAATTGGCAGTTTTTCATCGAGGCTTTGCAGACAATGTTGCTGTTGAGTCTTTCTGTCTCAATCTGGCTGTGTTTCCACCATCTCAGAGAAGGATCAAACAAAGGTTTTCATCAAATGTTAAAGGAGGAGATGAATATTTTGGAGAATTTTGGTTCTTTTGTTTTTCTTAGGATGCCTCAGATGGGTGGCATGTGGTATTCCAGGTTGGAATCTCTGTGTGAAGTTTGCATGTCCTCCCCATGTCCAAGTGGGTTCCTCTGGGCGCTTCCCCCCACAGTGGAGAGTACAAGTACCGTACGAGTGAATGTGAGTGTGAATGGTTATTTGGCTGTATGTTGACCCTGCAATGCAATGGTGACCTTTTCAGGGTGTACTGGGATTGGCTCCCCCCACAATCCTCGAGAGGATGAGTGGTGTAGATAGTGGATGGAAGCGCAACAAACTTTTTTTGTGTGAATTCAATTTGAGACACTGGTGGATTGTGTAACGTTGAAGGAGGGTTTTGTTTTTGCTGTTCTTCCATCTGCTTTTATGCTGAGGTTTACTGACAATCGACAGGCTGCTTACAGGTGGAATTCATGTTTTCAGCTATCAGCCCGAAGGCAATGAATGGTCCCCAAAATGTCAAACGACTCCTTTAACATTTTACAATCTATATGCACAAACTCAATACTCAACAGCACGGAGAGTCTGTGGGACTGGGACTAAAGAAAGAGTATTTTCTGAAGTCAGTATGCAATAGTGTATGAATATCGCTGTAACATGACAGAAATGTAGCATATGTTCCGTGTTTGTATTTATATAGATATTGCTGGCAACAAGACAGCTCAGGGCTGAGGATATTTCAATGTTGCCATGTCACTGAAAGTTGAGAATATTTCCCATTTTAAAATGTTTTCTACGCTGCTTGTTTCGTTTAGGCATGCTGTAGTCACGACTGTGTACTCTCCTCCCTGTGTGTATCCTACAGTGTGTATATGTGTGCGTTTGTGCAAGTCTTTCTGTGAGTGTGTGTATGCACGCATGCCTGCACGCATGTAATTATGTCCTGTATATTCCTACAGAATGTTTTCACTGTAGCTCTGCTTTGCCGACTTCTACCCACAGACAACAACTCATAAAAAATTGGCATATTGACACGTGTGTAGCAGAGCAGTTATTTCAGCTTGTTCAGACAGTTAGTTCAGTACACAGTTAATTCAGCATGTAAAAAAAAGAAATTATTGTTTAGTTGGATAACTTGTGCTGTTATTTGGGGGCGATTTCAAGGAAAGTAGCAGTGTTGTATCTTACACTCATCTCACAGCCAGTCATCCTGTGTGCAGTTACATCTTGAGCTCTCAGTCAATGTGAAAACCCTATGTTTTTCAGAAGCCTTGTCTTGTCCTGAGTTAGTGTCCATCGTCTGGAAATGAGTCTGTTCTGCAGGAGTTTATAAACCCTTTACTCAAGCAATTACTTACTGTAGACAAGTGGCAGTGAGTTCAATTGTGTCACTTTGCAATAGAATTGATATACGCACAGCACGCAAACACTCAGACTAGTGGAATCTGCTCTAGCAGCGTCCTTGGATAGTTTTCAAATGTCCAAATCATACATTTAGAGCCGTGCAGTATGGAATAGGTTGTAGATGGGGGATCACCAAGTACCCTCGAGTGGACAAAACAGTAGTACTTTCCTTTAACACGCCCACACTGGAACATCATGGTGAATGTACATACATGCACACTATTATTGTGTTGCTTCCCTGCCGTTCAGACAGGAAACTTCATTCAGTTGTACAAGAACAAAATTCTGACGTTGCAACATTTCGAGCAAGTCACACAGCTTGTAGTACATTCCGGAAATGTATGTATATCCGTGTACAATGTGTCGTCTGAAACAAACACTTCAGATGAACATTTTTTTACTTTTAACTTTTCTATTTTAGGGAGGGGGGGCGGTGAAGTCCGAGCCCTCTGCTCTCCCCTTCCACCCTCTCACCCAGTCTGATTCACCTGATACAACACGCAACATCCGCATGTGACAGGACACTTACAGTATTACCCCCCCAGACAAAAACAATAAAACATCCCCTTGCTGAAGCACTGTAGTAAATAAAAAGAAAGAAAAGTGCTTGCAGAGGGGGACAATGTTTGAAACTCGCAAACATCCTCCTCTCTGTCTCTTTATATTAAATCAACCTAATTTTCTCTTTAAAACAGCCACACACATGTCTAAAACAGTGCTCTATTCAGCAAAATATAATAAATAGGTGGACAAAAAGAGTGCTGATGTCACTGGCTATGTTCAAGTCACTGCTAAAAGCACGTACAGACATGTTGATGAAGAATTCACCTAGCCTACAGTTCAACAGCCAAACAAAGACACACTCGCTCTCGACCCACGCACCCCGCATCCATATGTTACACAGCTTAGTAGTTTGTGTTACAACTGGAGTATTTTTTTCTTCTTTTTACATTAATGAAAAGTAAGACTTAATATTCAAACAGTAGCCTACTGCAGGATGAAAAAATAATATAAACTAAATTGTCCATGTAATATTTCCTAACAAACCTATATACCAAATCTGTGCGCCTGATTCTCGGTTACAAGTATCAGCATATACAGTACACACTGTATGAACAGGCAGTGAAATGCTCGTTCCACACATCTTTTCCTCTCTCTGTCAGTTTCACGAGTCTAACTCAAACTATTCTGCTTCTTTGTCATCAGTAAACGCATCATCACCTTTCCTTAATGTCCACAAATGTTCATTCTGCCGTGCCCTGAGCCCAACTGGGTTATCTGCACTGAGCTGGACTGAAATGCACTGGGGTAGCCTGGTAGGTTTAATTTAGCTAAGACAGCAATGTTGAGCTCACACAACAATCAATAGGCTAAAAAAACTTGATCACTGGAACAACATTAATTTTCTGTGACTGAATAAATAGAAGGAATGTGGTTATGTTTAAATCCTTTCTGGTGACGAACCTGAACTATGAAAAATGTAATAAGTTACTAGTTAAACACCACATTGCCAGAACAGTAGTAAGTAACATTACTTGTTACTTTACTTTTAAAGACTGCCAAGAGTTAACATTAGCCCAGAGCTGGTGACCTCACAGAGCCAAAAGCAAAGCAACCTGTTGCTGACTGTCAGCTCAGAAATCACTATGTATGAATGCTGTCAGAAAACATTGGAGTTGGTGGGAGGTGTTTGTTTACCCTTGTTTGACAGGGGCAAACCGCCAACTGCCCTTCACTCAGCTATCGTGTCCAGCTGACGTCTGCTATCTTCTACACCTCCAACAGTTTGATGCCTAAACTGTTAATAAGTAACTGTAATGAAATATCTGGATATCTTATACCAGCCCAATCCCTTTATGCTTAGTGGAAAAACAAATGATGACCATGACATTTCACTATGTGTTCTTGCCCAACACTGTTAGCAACAAACTGCACATGTTCTTTCGTCAGTTTCTTTTTGTGCTGTATAATTTTGTATGAAACACACAATTGCTGTAGGTCGTTAAATACAAGGAGAAGGTTTTGACTAAAGTGAATCTGGGGCTAAAGGTTGTTGGTCAGCCATGTTCAAGGCTTAACTGTGCCTCCCCACTATGCAAGATGACATTATTTATAGGTACGACCATAATTGCAGATAAGCCAATGTGCTGATATGTATTTATACATAAATATGAGATTGCTTGGTTGTATGGGATTTGGACACATGTAAATTGCATCCTAAGTCTACTGTTGTAGGTTTAAAAGTCAGTGGAGCCCAATTACAAATAAACATATTCTCTAATATCCTGCTTTGTGATGGTTTGGGATCTATTCGCCCAGGTATGTGAGATTCCTGCCTCCACCCTAGTACAATAGAGGTTTATTGAATTTGTTGTGCTTGCAGTATCAAAAAAGCATTTTAAAAAAATCCACAGTGATGAGTCTGAGAAAGTATCCAAGTTACTGTAACATCTCCTGGTAGAATATATATAGATTTAGAAAAGAGAATCTGTCAATGAACCAGAGAAACAAGACTATTGTCTCTGGGCAGAGAAGGAGCTGTTTTCAACAGGATTGTTTTAATGTTATGAGCATCACAAATAAAATTGCCTTCACCCTGATTGTTGGGGAGGAGTCAGAAATGTTAACCTGGATAAAATTAAACCGAAACAATCTGCATGGCTAATGAGAACATGCCTGTTTGTCATGAGGGTGAACCAACCATCTAAAGCTTATTTCCAAAAGTAGCCTGACCTCTCTATGTAGAGTTGTTCTAGGGGATTGTGTGCTCAGTCTCGCAACCACATCATAAAAACCCTCAGCACTATTCAAGAGTCCACAGCTGGCGATGGCTTGTAGAGCCCTGAAGGGCCGTGACCTCCAGTCCATTTCTAAATAAATATTTAGATTTAACTTTCTTATCCCATCTCTCATTTGACCAATCAGTCCACTCCAATTACAAGTCTTCTTCACTTCCTCTTTCTTCCACAAATTAAATAATTTCCTCAGGACACAGTCTTATTGACAACCTTCTCTCTCACGTTCATGCTCCCTATTAGACTGTATGACTACAGCAACACCTAGTGGCTATTGTACATACTCTACACTACCACCTACTGCTTCAAAGTGCTTACAGTTTTCCTTTTTTTCTCAACATTTTTTTTTTTGTGATCAGCTTCCTCCCCTAAACAGAGACAGGGACAGAGAGAGAAAAAAAAAGGCCAAACCTGGCTTGGCATGAATTCACAGTCAATGTGTAATTTAGCATTCCTGATGATTGCCTGAATGTGACAAAGGAGAATCCACAAAACTCCCATCAATCCTCTTTTTTTTTTCGAAACAAGAAAATAAAACACATTTATTGCTCCATTTCTGATTTAACATTTCTCTCTGGTTCTAGAAAATATATATGAATATATCTATACGCCTGGATTACTTCTCCTAACGTCTCGTACAGTGGCAACAAGGTAAATGACGTCACAATATAAACAAGAAATTACACGTACGACACACAGGAGAAAAGCCCTGCCCTCATTGGGTAACCAGCTGTCCTGCAGCAGAGCTCTACCCACCCCCCTCGCGCACGCACACACACATTCATCCACATGCGCACGCAACCATCTTTCACATTTGCCCACATACATACACATGAATGCACACACACTAAACAGAGAGAGAGAGAGAGAGAGAGAGAGGGGAAGGGGCACTAGCACGGTTCAATGCCAACAGACTCATACTTTCGGATGAACCAGAGAAGCCGTCTGGCTTGTTAGCTCCCCGTGCTAATACCAAAGCTTCAGTTTACTGGGCTAATAAGTACAGTGTGTTGTTGCTGAGACAGCCAGTTCAAATCCAGCCAGTCACATGGAACTCTAATCCCCCCTCCCACTTCTCCCTTTCGTCCCCAGTGGCCCCTCGTTCAGTCATCAGTCTTTCATCTGGGATTAGATGGTTTGGGTTAGTTAGAGAAGAGGGTGGGGAAAAGTGAAGATTGGCAAACAGAACAGAACCCAGTCTTTCACGCTTTCTTCGCCTCATTTTTTTACCTGTCTCTCCTACGAGTCTGTCCGTCCCTGGGTGAGGGTGTAGAGAAGACAAACATGCGTCCAACACACACTAGTTATAGTGGCCTGCTAGGAGCCTGTCAATATTCAGTATTTAACTTTTAATTGTCAGCATGAATTAACATTAACAATGTTATTGTCATTGTAATATTATATATAATTTACTCTAATGATGTTTTAAAACTTATTTTTTGTGTATGTTTTTATTCATCTTCTTTTATATTATAGCTTTCCCTACATGGTTAAGTTTTTCGTGAATGTACTAGGCGGTTGGGTTGCACCACACCAACACCTGACTTCCTATTGGCTGACGAGTATCATCTTCTTCCTGCTTCTCCTCCAATCACAAGATGCGCGGTGCAGAGCGGTCATTGGACACGGTCTTGCGAAGGCGAACTCCTCTCCTGATAGTGGTCAACATATCACCAGACCCCTCTGCTTCCTCTGTCCCTGTCTGAGCATCAGTGGAGCTGGTCAGTGGCAGGGCCGGGTCATCAGGAAGGGTGGGGAAAGGGAACTGCCCCTCTCCAAGGGCATGTGCACTGGCTACTAACTCGCCGATCTTCTCCACTAAGCTGTGCCGATTGGCTGCAATCATCTGATCCTCCTCTGATCCGGCCCCTGAGCCTGTCCCCATTACAAGACCCCCATGCTGTTGGGCATAGACCTCTAACGCTGCCCCTGATCCCCAGGCAGTATTAGGCAGGCTGAGGCGCTTGGGTGACGCCTTCACATAATCAAGCGCACCCTGTGCATCCTCCACTCCAGCAAAGAACACACACTCCTCACTGCCCACACGCACAGGTACACCACCTGCATGTCCTCCAGCTGCATACGCACCACCCCCTGCCCCAGGTGAATGTGAGTCTCCGGGAACAGTGGGGGTCTTGACAGGCACAATGGGTGGTCGGATCGGGATGGGACCCGCATTGGACAATGTGCGCCTAACACCCGGTTTAGTAGATGGGGTTCGTCGAATGGTGGCAGTGCCTGGAGTCCCTGCTCCACCTCCACCAGGCTGTCCTGATATCCCATGAGCAAGAACACCAGTGGGGAGGCCGGCTGTACTGGCTGGCCTCTTGGTCTGGATCATGCGCCGGTAGTTCTGGGCGATATTAGAGTGACGAGGAATGGTGGAGGACTTGTCAAACTCTGTCTGTCCATCTGGGCCTTCAGCATCACCATTCACTGAGTAGCAGTCATAGTCTGAACCTAATGTACAGGAGGAAAGACAAGGTAGAAGAAGAGATGCTGAATTTTTGAAGAGTGAAACTAAATTGGATTCACAGGAGAAAAGAGGAAAAATGATTTAGTGAGATCACAGTATTGGATTAATACAGTGAAAGTCACATTCTTTGGATAAGGCATTTAACTAAAAGAAGTCAACACTGTTAATATTATTTAATTTTAAATTCTTATTGTTATTTCCTGTCTGGCATCAAGGAAACTGTCAGATAACACCTGTCATATACTCTAGTTGCTGCTTGGATAATTAAAAACCTAATACCCTTGTTTTGGGTTTGAGTACACCATGCTCTCAAGACACTGAGCCTCATGAAGGAGCTGTTCGTACAAACAAACTGATTTGGAGGAACCCTCACCACTTTTCTCATATTCTGAGTTTGCTTTTCAGGTGAAAACTGAATATACGAGTTGTCCAGCCCTGTCTTAAAAGTCATGTAAAATTAGTCATGTTCGTACGAACTGACCATGCGAACAGATGTAGGAGAAATTTAAGTTAAGAGTACAAACATTATTTTACATGAGGCATAATGATTCTATTGTAAATTATATATTCTGCAGAGCTTGTAAATACTGGCAAATACAGATCAATCTAAAAACAAAAAACAGATTTGCCCATCACAAGTTGACATTTCTGAGATTTTACACGGACAATAACATGATGGATTCAGGCAGGGAAATATAAAAAATGTGGGCTGAAATGGATGAATAACTCAGTGGAGCATATTTCAGAGTTCAGAGCTTCACCTTGTGAGGGGATGGTGTCCTCAGAGCAGGATGGGGTTGTGGTCTCTGTGCTGTATCCACTGGAGTACTGCAGCGAGTCTCTGCTGTTCTTCTGCTGCTCCACACTCAGCCCTCTGGTCAGCACCATGGCCAGGTCACTGGCTGCTGGGGAAACCTCCTCTCCATGCTGACCAAATGCAGAAAGGTGTTTAATTAGACAGCTCTTCATAGCTAAACTCAGACTTTTCTTCATGCAGACAATTCTCTCTGACACACAACACACAAAATAACACACAAAAAATGTAATAGCCTGATTAACTGACTTCATATAGACAGAGACAACTTGATTTGGCTGACAAAGATTTTTCTGATGTATGGATAGTCTCTATAGTAATCATCTTTTTATTATCATACTTTTTATTGCAATGGTGTGAGATTGTAAAAGTGTGAAAGTAAAATGTTGTGTATTGCTCCATAAATGAAACCACAGCTCCAATGACAAAATACATTTTCTCCACATTGATTGTCTATTGTCTCGTCTACAAAATAAAACAAAGTATTAAAAAAGGTGGACAAATGTCTGTGTGCACCTCTTCTCATCAAGGTAAAGTTTTTTGATACACATTTTTGATCCAAATGTTTTCAGTAACCTTTGTTAGTTTACAAGTGCTTTAATATTGAGACAGATAACTCTATGTGCTGTAGGTCTCCATAGTGTATGTGGTTATTGTTAGTTAGTATGTTAATGCTTACTTTGTCAAACCAACTCAATTACATGCTTGGATGTGTGTGTTGGGTTCATCTCAATACAGCAAAGTGGAATAAAACTTTTAACATTAAAAAAGATTAATTAAAAGAAATTAAAAATGTCTTTAGATGTACTGATACATGGTGGTGTGTTGATATAATGCATCATCCCATACTATATTCATTCTTGCTCTCCACTTAAGCCTGAGACTGGATTTTTTAGTCCATCTTCTACTTGTTCCCTGCTCTAAAACCACCAGTGAGTGAAGCAGACACTGCTCACGTTTGTGTTTTTTATCTGTATTGACTTGGTATTGTTTGGTAGATAAGAACAAATAAGTGTTGAGTTTATCAGCCTTCTTATACTGCCAAATAAAGATCAGTCAGAGTCGATTCACAGGTTTATTATACCCATTTTACATGGATTGCTGTATTGCAAATATCCCTCTACATATTAGCCTAAAATGTTCTTCTATATCTTCAATCTGCTTGTCCGCGTCACCCGTCATTACCTTGGCAGCAATAGTAGCCGGGGTCATCCTGGCTCTCTGGCCATCATCGGGGTGTGATGGCCCAGCGTACCCCTGGGAGCCTGGCGACGCTTCGCTCTCCCTCAGTCTATCGAGGGGCTCCTTTCTCCTCTGAACTGCTGCTGCAGCCACGGGCTGTTCATACTGACCTGCTTTGGACCAATCCTGAGGAGGTGAGTGGAATTAATAAGCAGGAAGTGTAGGTAGGATTAGCATATAGAGACTTTGTCCACTATCCAGCAGTTTGAAACCCTTCATCTGTGTGCAGAGAGAGGGGGCCTTCTCAGGTGGGTGCTTGGAAGAGTGTATGTGCGTGCGTGTAGGTGGGTAAGTGTATGTGGGCAGGGGCCTTTTTGAGCCTGTGCTGAATTTGATGAGTTTGATTGGTCAGCTCTCCACATCCTGCTAAGTTTTGGTCAATCTCCGGTCGGTTAGATTGCAAAACCAGTGAGTGAGACAGGGGAGGCCAAAAAAAAGCATGCACACACAGCAGATGGATGTGAAAACTAGTTAAGCAAAGCAATGTGGTTATGAATGAAAATGTAAAGAAAACACACCAAACATCTTAAACTCAATGTTGGACAGAAAACAGACAAAAAAAGGTGCAACTGAAGAAATGGAAGCGAATGGAGAACAAACCTTCCAGATAGGAACCTTTGATGTGGGAGAGGAGGAGCTGGATCCGGGGGGGCAGTTATAGGGTGGGGACGCAGGAACGGGAAGAATGACAGAGAGAGGCCTGGTGGAGCCAGAGTGAGAGAGAGCGGGGCGGAAGGTTGCGAAGGACGAGCCAAACTGCGGGACGAGAGACATAGTCGTATCATCAGAGAGAGAAAATAAAGACGTGGACGTGGACTAGGAGAGGGAGAGAGTGAGAGAGGCAGCCAGCTGTGGTGGGAGACCACTGGGCTGAACACATGAAAATAAAAGATATCAACAATGATACACACACACACGCGCACACAGTGCGAAAGAGAAGAGCAGGAAAAGATCAGCAGTAGGTTTGACAACAGAAAACATTAGCCACTGCTGTCCATGCATCGAAATGACTCTATGTACAAACTAAGTGTAATTTTTAGTCTTTAAGAACTACATCAGTGAGTTCTAGGTCAACTACATGCCACAGCTTGATTATGTGCATATTAAAAAGGTGATGGAATGTGTTAAAGCAGCCCCAAGCATGCATTCAAAACTCGAATGGTTTTGATTTGACCATTACCTCTTCAGAGCAGTAATTCTGCATCATCGTAGGACAGAAAACAGACTATAAATAGTTTATTTTTGATAACGTAGTAATGGGCTCTTCACTGCTCCCTGAGGCTAAAGCTGTAACTTCAATTGGCAGGAGCTGTGCTTTTAGTGAGTATTTATTTCCCCATAAGACACAGAAATCCATGTTCAAAAGCAAATGGACTGGCCACAAACAGAGGAGAATATTTTTCACTCTGTCTATAGCACTGCACTGTTAACCCGGTGTGGTTTGATGTGGATATAGAGAAATGACACACTTGTAACGTGGAGAGAAGTTTGGATTTCACAGGTAAATCCAGCAAGTTTGCATTATTGCAGTGTTTCATCAAGGTAACTGGTGACTGTGGAGCACATGATCCATCGTGACATTGATTATCACTTGAGCAAGAGTTGGATGCAGGGCTAACTGCCATCAGAAGGCTGTTGAGATAATCCACTGAGGGAAGGTACTCGTATGTGTAAGGTGCTGGGGATGAAAGATGCTGCTTGCAATGAAACATGAATATTTATTGCCTCATGAGCATCATTGTATTGTGTTTGTTTTCTGCAAACAGATGTGCATACTTCAGAGAATGCATATTCAAGCATTCCATGTAAAGTTTTGATGTTGACCTGATCTTAGTTGGTGAGAAGGACGTGGTGCAAATTGCTGTAAATCTTCTGAGCATGTGATGTGAACTCTCCACTGCACTTCTTCCACAACTGCAGTGAGCCACCAAAATACAAAACACGAGCAGGTAAAAACAATACTGTCTTCACGCGCAGGACAGATGCCATTTTTCATAATGTGTGCCTGCAAAACAAACAGCCCTCGATGTGTCTGATTCCTGCCATGAAATATCCTCATTTTGGAATGCACAGAAAAACATGAATTCATCCAACACATCACGCATAATTTGCATTTTTCAAAATGTTTCTCTTGTGGATGGTGTTTAATTTGTTGATGCCTTCTCTGCATATTCAGCCCCTAGAGAATAAATGCTACCTGGTCTACTGAAGGTTGCCACTAGAAAACAGCTTTTGTAAAACTTAAAATATAAAGAAGTAAGCTGTTACCTTCGCCAAGGAGATAATGTCCTCAGAACGGATATCCACAAAACTTACATGAGGAGAACCCCTAAAAAATGTTTAATCACTTTCAAGACGTGTTTTTTGACAGTAATACTTTATTTCACAGGGAATAAATCATGGATCTTGGTGAAACTATGGACTGTTGGGCCTTGGCAGAGGTTTGTGTTCAATGAGAGTCATCCTAGTTACATCTTCAAGCACATTTAAGGATCACTTGTTCCTGTTCCCTTCGACTCATGCCACATGCAGTAATTTTTACTTTTCTGGTGGACTACATTATATGCTGTATGAATACCAGTACTCACAGTGGTGGGGGAGCTGCATTCACTGACCGACTGGCAGGTTTCTGAGGCCTCAGATGATGCTGAGCTGGACGACTTCTACAGCAGGAAAAAAAAACATTTTGTCAACTGATTTAGGTGAACATATCAAGAATCTCTATGTAAACATTGTGTGTGCATAGGTGATATCCATCTTTTTTTTCTAATATAGATAATTCTGTAAATCAAACTAAAAGCCAACATTTAAAGCTCAAATGTGTGTGTAGAAATATGTGTGTGTAAGGCATTTGTACCTGGCTCGTGATGTCCGAGGGCATGGGTGACGGGGGCTTGGAGTAGATATTAGCATCCTGGGACACGAAGCCAGAGTCGTGGGAGGAGACGCTGCTGAGGCGGTGTGCTGCGATGCCCCCCGGCGGAGGAGGCTGGTGCGGCAGGCTGCTGCGGTACCGATAGGAGGAGGAGGAGGAGGTGGGTGAGTGCGGTTGGGAACCTCCACCACCACCTCCGCCAAAACCACAACTACCTCCTCCTCCTGACGAACGGGAGGCACTACTGTGGGCGCTGTTGACACTGCTGTGAGGGGTGAAGGTTGCAGAGGAGCAGGAGGAGGGTGGATTGTTGAAAGGGGGGTGAGGAGGGTGAGGAAGGGACGAGGGTGATGTCAATGTGGAGTAAGGACAGTGTTTAGGGAGAGAGAGCACGATTGCAGGAATGTGATTTAGGAAGAAGGAAATGTGTAAGATGTGAAGGGTGGGTGATGGTAAGTTGATGGTTGGAGGATGTTGTGGTTGGTTTCATGTGATGGATTGAAGTTTCAGGAACAGTCCACAGCAAGTTGTTAGTGACACACCAGTCACAGATAAAAAGCAGAGACCCCAGAAAAAGAGAGGGAAGCATGACAACCAAACACCCGGCAGGAGAGAAAGAGGGCAAATCACCAGTTCACACACAAACAAGATACAAAAAAAACAGAGAGACGAGTACAGAGTGTGGTTGAGGTGAGGGGGGAAGGGGTGGGGTGGGGGAGAAAGGGGTGGGGGTGGACAGAGAGTGTGTGAGATCCAGGATCACTCACACAAATGCACACTACACAATACAGGATAAAGGCTGTGAACTTTCATGCAACTGCTTCAACATGCAAATACTGACAGAGACTGATTCACTCATACGCTGAATGAGTTTTTATTTCAGATAAACCACAGACATCTGTTTCTACTTTACTGTATTCTTCTTGTAGTGGTAAGTTATTTATCACAAGGACACTATTGTTGCAAAGCTATTTACAAATGGAACTGGAGAGTTGTGTAACTGTATCTGAGTCCACAGGCTATTGTAGATCTCAAATCATGAGTGATAAGACAGCCAGATTGTAACTGTCTGTAATAACAGCAGAATATTAAGGGCCCTATCTTACAGCTGCACAACTGTAGGGGGTGTGTTGATCTTAAGATTAGGTGTGGTCAGGTGCATTGTTGGTACACTGCGGTTTTGATGCAGTTAAACGTGATTGATCACATGATTAATCAATAAAAACGATCTGATATACGCACATGGACTGAATGATTCTACTACACTGAGGATGTCTGGACAAACATTAATGATGGACTGACACACACAGAGAGACTGACATAATAAAACATAAACATCAGGGAGGGCTCCTCTTTCTGATCCTCAGTTTATACTGATACACAGTTAAGAACACTGCAGCGTGGTTGTGTATGTGTGTACTGTGCATGCGTGTATTTGTGTGTGAGTACCTGCACATGCTGCTCTTGCGTGAGCCAGAGCTGCTGGGAGATGAGGGAGGGGTCTGATAGGACCAGCTGTAATCTGACCCCTTGAGATCCTTAATCACCTGAGAGAGACACAGACACAGTGAGTTAAAGAGTGTCTGCTCAGTTTGTTTCTTCTTTGTGTGTGTGTGTGTGTGTGTGTGTGTGTGTGTGTGTGTGTGTGTTTCACCTGTTCACTAGCAGGGGGCAGTTTGTGAGGATCTGTTGTCAGCACAGTGAGGTCATCAATGATGGCCTGGAGGTGAGTGATCTCTCCCAGCATGGCGATCTCTCCGTTCTACAAAACAAGATAGAAACAATCAGTCTAATATCCTGCTGACCCCCCCCACCCCGCTGTCTGTCTACCCTTCCTACCCTCTTTCAACCAAAAGTCCAAAATACAGCAATTTTTCAAGTCAGTAGCATTTCAAATACCCAGAGCACACATACAAATGGCACTAAGTGAATATGACGTGCTGCACCAAAATGATTTGCTTGTGCAGCTCAGAGTATTTTCATATATCCACATATCAGAACCCTCCCTCATGTACCCCGCCTCTCACCAGCTCATCCTGTGACCCTCAAAAGGATGAGCAGAATGGATGGAGCATGCTATCACCAAACAGATCACACTTCAGGACACAGAGGCTGTGATGTTCCAACCAACAGACCAATCTTAAAATAATATATTGTAGAAAGTCAGACATCAGTGGCATTTCAATCAGCCACCACAGTAAAACTACCCATGGACATGTTGGTCTTAAATTTATAAATTTTGGCACGTGAAACAGAAACAACACAAAAGCAAGTTGTGAAGTCCATGGTTCAGAATTTTACTGATATTACGAGGGCATAAACAAGCAAAAGTGGATTTGGACACGTCTCAAATTTATCTGCACAATCAGATGTTTAAAACAGAGTCCATGGATTACACAAAGCCTCTAAAGGTGTTCCTTGGAATCAGACTCCAAGAAGTTAGGGTCAGATCCTTTCAGTCTCATAAAAAGCAATCGATGGATCAGACTTTCCAGCACATCCCAGCACACAGCTGTGGGAGACACCCTGACCTCAGGCTTCATTTTAACAATATAATCTGTTATAATCATGTTCTAAAGAAGATGGCTAAACTATATAGTTGGCATCCATTTTTGCTTGTTTAACAGTGAGAAGAAAGGTCATAGCACCATCTTATAAATTTGATACTGTCACACATCTTGTCATATCTTTTCTTGTCTTACATTGCAGTATATTGTCTCCCAGAGAAGAAAACACCTTGCATACTTGCTGTATTTCGGTTTCATACAACAGTCACAGAGTTATGTTACACTCCCCTGAGGAATATACATGTTTTTCTGATGCTGTTGTGTGTGTGCTGCTTCTAGACCTCAGTCAGCTCCAGATCCTCAGCTCCGCCTCTGCAGTGGGTGGTGCCTCTGCACACCTGGAGAGTATAAAGCTGAGGAGCCTCACCTCAGTCGCTCTCTGCCTCCTGCTCTGCTCGCTGTTCTCTGTTTGCTCTGCTGTCGGCGGCTGCCTTGCTAAATCCACTGTACTTGTTGAGCTCTACTCGTGAAACTTATGTTGTTCCTTAACTGCTATTTTTAGTTTTGGGATTCTTTGTTAGACTTGTGGCCAGGAAGCTGTAGGCAAGAGTAGCCATTTTGTTTCAACACAGTGCTGCCAGGGAGGTTCAGTTTCTGTACCTTTCTTTTTTTTAGACAGAAGTATGTTTGGTTCTAGTTAGGGATGAGTTTTGTTATTTTGGTTAGACTCTCTCTAAAGTTGTTTTGCTTCCATTGCTGGCAATAAACAACCTTAATTGAACTACTTGACTCCTGACATCTTTTAATGTGGTATTGTGTTACTCCCCCTACACCTAGACCTTATTGGGGACGCAACCAGTTACTTTGGATACACCCACATCTCAAAGAGAGGAGCGGCTCTGCAACCACAGGAGACTATGACACTGCGCAGCAGATCAGACAGTATTCTTTCTTCCTTTCCTCCACTCTACCACCACCCCTCCTCCTCTGTCAATCCCCCTCACCACGACTGGCTGCAGGAAGCCAATGAAGGTGCAGAAGCGACCCCTCTCCTCCACCAGGGCGCGGCGCACTGCCTGCTTCTCTGTCTCCTCCATTAACAGGCACATGTCGGTAACATCCTGCATGGCACTGTCGAGCTGAGGCTGCAGGTCTCCTCGCCCTGGGAGAGGAGGAAAAAATGAGACGGAGGAGAGTGAAACAGGGAGGTCAGGGAGGAGATGATGTTAGACAGGTATGAAGGGAAGAAGTGGGGTTTGCATCGAAGAGGTTGGTTGATGTAGGGAGGAAAGATAGGTGGCAGATTATGTAAGTGAAAGTGACTCTGGGTCTAAAAGGTTATAAACTTGAATTTGGTGAGATGGGATCTCTGTTTCCCATAATACACTGCTCCATCAAACCACTACCATACAAAATGAAAACTGATGTTTTGGTTGTATACTTGTTTTAACTTATTATGTGAGTGCCTCACATTTTGTCATTAATTACGATTGACAACAGCCATCTGCTTAATGTTCAGCATATTATATAAGGAGACATATCAGAAGTATTTATCACTGCTGTTTGGTTTAGTCCAATAGCTTGATAACCTAGGTCTATATTGTATTCATATATACATAATATATATTCTGTAATATAAATATCAGATTTTTATATCCTCTCTTCTCATAAACTGAACAGATGTCTAGCAGTTTTAAGGAAAGTTGAAATGTAGGAACCTCCCTGTGGCAAAGGCTTTAAAACTGCAATGTCTACTTTGACCACTTGGGCGCAGCACAATCAAGTTGCATTTGTTTTCTGTAAGAGCTGAAACATTTTTACATTTATTACAGTTCCCACTTTTTTGGAGAGATGATCAATACAATCAAATAATATTTTGGACTAAATGTGTATTAATCACAGCACATGACACAGTACAGAGTCAAAAGAATAGATACATACACATGGTGTAGAGAATCTCAATCTTATCTACTGTTAACTAAATCCAATGAATGTAAAGCAAGACATATAACTCTATGTATTCTTACAGCATGCAAAAAAAAGTCTGCAGATGTCTACAGTACCAGGGATAGAATGAAAGAGAGAAGAACAAGAGAAAATGACAGTTTGACAGTGGAATGAAAGATTGAAATCTGACTAATAGTAGCAGTTATGCAGGAGTCAACACAGAAGAAATTATACCATGCATTGAACAAGTGAAACTTCAAATTATATAACTATACAAAACTGGAAAAGCTGAATTTTTACCATTCAAAGGACTAAAATTGATTTGAACTGAATAGATGAAGGAATCATCTCTTCTCTGAAGACTCAGTAAATGTTTTCAGGTAAAACTCATACACTAATAGATTTACAACAGCTGCATGGTTACCTGATCTTGAGGCTCTGTCTTGTTGTGGGGCTCTGACATCAAATCTAGCTTTGAATGTGTTATTAATTTAACGACATCCAGTAAATCTTTGTGCTTCATTCTTGTGACAGTTGTCTCAACAACCTATTACGCTGGTCATCTTCTATTTCTCATTTTTATGTACTATTTTGTGTTATATCTCATACTTGGAATTATTTTGAAGATGAGCAGTATAAAGTAGTATAAAAATGTATTAACTAAATATTTAACTACTGCGATGAATGCACACAGTGTGGGGCCTAAGACTGAGTTATGAGGCCCCTGGTGGGATAATACAGCCCTGACTACAAGGCTCTCTCTCTGTTGCTCTGAAGACAAGATTAACGTTTCTTCTATACTGTAGAACAATTCTCTAATATGAACAGAAATCTTTTCATGACCATTTAGAACAATTATATCACAGTATCAACCACGGAGTGATAATCTGAATAAAGTAAGCTCAGTTGGGACTTAACTACATACAGCATGTCCATACATGGTAATGGGGGGAGAATAATGTGAGTGAGAAAGGAGGTGATGCAACAGAGCTGTAGCGAGCAACAGGCTGATACTTACCCTGGATCTCTATTACCACAGGGAGGGAGAGACAGCCAAGGGGAGGGGGGGGGCAGCAAAAAGGAAGCAAAACAAGAGAGAGAAAGAGGGGACAGAGAGACGGGGAGAAGAGATAGCAAAACTCATTGTTAAGGTTAGTACAAGGAAGCCATCACAAGACAGCCATAGTGCCACAGGTTAGAGCAACTTAATACTGCTGCAACCAAAGACTCAATCCAGAAATCATAATAACAATAATAATAATAATAATAATAATGATAATAATAACACCAAGCATCAGCACTCACCGAGCTAACAACACACTCACAAGCATAACAGCACAGAACACTGTGTTCTCTCACTGTCAGGGTTTAGCTATTGTCTACTGCTACTAAATGTATGATATGGATAATACTTCATTTATCAGTATTTTACATAACATATACTCAGTTAAAGTCACAGAGTTGTATTTAACAAAAGACAGGAAGTCATTTTAAAGGAATTTATTTTTTATTTGAAATTAACTTTACAGACATTTTGAATTGATGCATTCATCTGCCTGGCAACTGAATGGAAGCTGAAGAGAGAAAGCACTATTTATTGGTTGTTGCATCGCTGACTGAAGTGTTTCAGGACGAATGAGAAAAAAGAGCTGCAATGCTGCTGAGTGCCACTAGATGACAACATTAACCTACAATTCTTTTGACCTCAACTGTTCTAAATCTATGTGGTTTGACCTCAGTGCATGACTCTTCTTTACTTACATTTAAAGTAATCACTGTATTTTTAGGTGAGGTGTTTAACTGGGGCTGGAAAACTGACCTTTTAGTGTGACCTTCTGTCTATTCAATCAAACGTGACATGAGCCTGAGCTCGACTGTTAAAGACTGCTGACTGTTACCTTTACGAGCCTTCTTCTGTAGTTTCATGGTGTCAGATGACTTCTTCTTGATCTCGTGGCGTGACCTCTTGTACTCTTGAAACAGGATGAACAGAGATGTTTCAGTAATAGGAATGTAAAACCCTCTGTGTAAACTCATATTATCTTTCATTTCCAATACTGATCAGAATAGAAATGCTTTCAGAAGCTGCGTGACCTCAAGCTCACTGATACCTTACACTGCTTGGAGGCACTGAACATCATCTTTGTTTTGTCCAAGCTGTTAGTGCAGCGGGTATGAAATCAATAACATGAATGTATGAGGAACTCTATTAAAATACATAGACATGATCCTCACAGTGTCTGATCATCAAACAGTTTGGTTTGGTTTATTCTCATGTTTCAATATTAGCTTGTACTACTACTATAAACTACATACTAATGTCAAATCAATCAGCAAATCACAAACCTTGAGGAACTGATGTATATTATTATGATATATTGATGCTCATGGTAACATGTATAACTCAGGATGTGGCAGAAGATATTTTCATAATTTCTCCTGATCTGCATGAAACACTATTCTCCATGAGGCAGTTTATTACAAAATATTGTCCACACATGGATCTGGTGAGAAGATGCCTCCGATAATGCCGAGTTGAGCATCGGCAAGTTCACAAATCTATGTACTGATCTGATAATACAACTTTATGGTATATTAGTTTCACCTAAATCAAACTATAATTTTTACTATGATTACTTCTTTGCCGCTCAAAAACAGCAGCTTCGCTGTACTGCCACTGGCTAGTGGTGAGGAAGAAGTGATTTCTGGTAGTGATTAGACTGATCACACTTTATTGTCAGAATTTCTTCTCAAATTTGTGTTGCATCGCAAATTCTGATTCAACAGTTTGACAGACTGAGGAACAAAAGAGTTCTTCAGTCTGTTCAGTCGAGCCTGCGGGACTCTGAATCCCCTGTTAAATAGCAGAAGCTGATATTCCTCCAATAAAACATGTGGGGTCAGATGTAATATTACCTGCCAGTGACAACATTATTTTAGTGTATACTGTTTGAAAGCTTGAACCAAGCGGTTGACCCACAATCTGTGAGCAAATACACAGCAGTCTTGCCAGTCGGGCTTAAAGTTGAACAGAAAGAAAATTGAACCGTGCACAAATTATTTACTGATGATAGACAGTAGTGTAGGATTAGCCAGAGCTTCTTTTTTTGTTATAACTGTCAGACCAGATAACAAGTTCAATGATATTCATTCTCCTATGAATTTGTTTTTCAAATGGTTTAACCTGAGTCAGGCCATACAACAATGATGGCACTCACACCCTCCATACAAGGTTACTAACATACTGCTGTTAAAATATGATTTCTTCTTTATTTATTTTTTTAAATGCACTTGTATCGGATCAGAAGAGGTTTCAGGATTGGTACAGGGGAGGTGAAATGGTATGGAAACATCTCTACTTATAAGTCTTCAAACTCTTGTTGATTATTATTATAACTGGACCTGGATTGTACTTTGTAGTGTTGGCGTGGCAACATGTTGACAACAATCTTTTGTATACTTTAATATATGTGTTTTGAGATGTGCAACACTATCTCTTAAGAAAATGTTTCTATACCGATGTGCAACAGCAGCAACATTTTGTATGGATCATAGCCATTAATTGATGTAGAGCTTCAATCATTCTACTAGATAATGTCTGTACATAAACCAAATTCCTAAAAAGACATTTTGCTGTTGCAGTTGTATATTCATGTCAGGAGACAGGGTGGACCTGTGATGTGTTTGTACCTTTCGCATGGTCCTTATCCAGCTGGTTGGCTGTTTTCTTCCAGTCCTCAATCTTGTCCTGGAGAGGAGTGATGAGACTCTCCATCAAAGCACTGTAGGAGAGACAGAGATTTAAGATGGTGATAAATGAATTAACATTTCAGTCCCAGGGTGAATATTTCCATGGTTTGCTGTCTTGACTACACAGGGATTGACTTATTGCATACATTTGAGACCCCCATATTCCCCCAATGGGCCCCACTGAAAATGAGAGGCTGTGGTATATTTATGGAGCAAGATCATTATATAAATTTCCTCCACGTGTCGTTCCACTTCATGATTTTAGTATCTGGAACACTGCCTCCCTCCCTATCCAAACATTCATACAGATGAACGCTCACACAGAAAATTGTAAGACTAGTGGGGCAGACACACAACACCTTTTAGATGGGCTTCAAAAGAGACCCCTGCCATTATCATGGCCATAGATCATCATCATTGTCACCATCAATGTAATAGGTTCTGTGGTGGAAAATTAAATAGTGTCTATGAAGAATGAGGGAAACAACAACAACAGACTCTTGGTGAGGTTTCCAGAGCGATCTGTGCGACGTTCCATTGGCTGAATTAATTTACAGTGATTTAAATATGTAGACTGAGCAATGTTCCTGATGGAGTCCACACAGCTGACAAGAAAAACCTCACCAAACATTTGTCTCATCATAATAACCATAAAAAACAAGGTCAGCTTCAGATGGAAGCACACATCAGGTCGACCATTTTTACGACTACCGGAAAGCTGTGATTGGCGACATGACAGGAAGCAAAAGTAGGAAGGTGAGATGATGAAAACAGTGATGGAGGAAAGGAAAGAAGGAATCAGAATCAGAATTCCTTTACTGTCCCAAGATTGGGAAATGAACACTGTGCAACAGCAAAATAATCAACAAGCATGAAAAATGAAGAATCTAAAGTAAAGATAAGTTAAAACAAGATAAATTACTATATACAAATTGCACTTAGACTGCTGCATTGGTTGTACATGATGAGTTTGTGTGTGTGTGTGTGTGTGTGTGTGTGTGTGTGTGTGTGTGCGTGCGAAGGAAGGAAGGAAGGAAGAAGGGAAAGGACGTGTATCTTACTTGGTGAACTGGCGAAGTTTGGCCTCGATGCTGCGATGCCTCATGCACATCCTGGTCAGAGCTGAACCAATATCTCTAGTTGCCCCTGGAAACACAAAACAGCCACGTTAATATGACGAAACACACACACACACACTACCAGAGTGTCTTATTGCACATTTACCACAAAAAGGCCATTTTTGTTTGACAGAAACCACACAAAGCTGTGTTCAGTATTTACATTAGAGCTATTAGTGCTCTGTGTAAAGTAAATGCTGCTAAAAGCATTGTTTCCTTCAATAGATGAGCCACTACACAAAGCTTTTCGTATCCTTTTTACACCCGGCCAATATTTACACAAGACACCGATCTGACTCTCGTAGACACTACACACACTCACAGCTCTGTCCAAATAAAGAAGTATCTCATGAGTGTGTGTTTGTGGGGGAGCCGAGCGCTCGGGAACCGAGATTCGAGAGCTGCTAACCTGCAACTGTAAACACAGGTCTATTTTAAGGCAGAGTAGATCCATGTGGAAAAGCTGACCCTGGAGCTGGAGTCACTTTAAGTGATGGTAGACAGAGCCTACTTCCAAACAAGGTGCTCCAAGCTGCTGCTGCTGCTGCTATTCAGGTGGAAAGCAGCAATAAAATGATACTGTGGTTTCATCTTCATACTATGCACTTTCAAGTTTATGAGCAGGGATACGGCTTATGCAGTACAGGGTGCCTGGAGAATTCCTTAATCACTGCTGCCACTGAAATGTACACACTGGAAAATTCTGATTAAGCGGGAGCCAAATGGGATTTCCACGAGAGACACTGTTTATCATGAGGGCTTACACAGGCTTACATGCTAAAATGCAGGGAGTGCAGAGAGAGGAAGGGCATTATTCCAAAATATGTTATGCACCAGATTAATATTTTCAGCCACAACTGAAAACTCCTGTGTCAGACCAAAAACAGTGGGGGGTGGGAACTTCTCCAAAATGATTCAAACTACAAATTCAGAAACTGTCAGTGACATGTAACCATGTTGTTGAGGATAGGAGTCAACAACACTTATTAATTAATTAAAACAGAATTTAAAATAAAATGTCAGTATTTAGACAAACTTCAAAGCTAGGGTTGGTAATTCTGGAATAGCTGCAAGAGCAGACTACACTTTGAAATCATAAAACGGATAGGTCTCACCCCCTCCCATCAGCACTCTGGTCAAAGGTACACCCCCAAAAACATGAATGTGCATTGACAACGACTTTCCGCCAGTTATAACTTCTCTGTCCTTTCTTCAGCAGTGTATGTCTCTCCGGCTGAAGACTCTGGTCATGTGCAGTAGGAGCATGGGTGCACACAGGCAGGTAGGTCTGTTTGTGACAGGTACATTTCATTTGTTCTGAAGACCCTGCCTTTTTTTTCTTTTTTTTAATATATTTTATACACTGCTCAAAAAAAATTAAGGGACGTAATTTCACCTGCTGTGGTGCAAATGAAGGTGACAACAGGTGCCATGAAGAGGCAAAAGCAAGACAACCCTTAAAAGGGAACGTTTTTACATGTGCTGGCCACAGACAATTGCTCTCTCCTTACTCTTCCTGACGATTCTTCTCTAGTGTTGTGTTCTGCTTGTGTCCTTGTCACTACTGGTAGCATGAGGCGGGACCTGCAGTTCAATCAGGTTGCACAGGTAGTCCAGCTCCTCCAGGAAGGCACATGCATATGTGCGATCACAAGAAGGAGCACTGCCAAAGCCCTACAAAATGACGTCCAGCAGGCTGCTGACCTGATTGACAGTTCCATATTAAATCTGATTAACATGTCTTTGTAAACCGGCTACGTACCACAGGCTTTTAAGGTAGCTGTTATTAACCTCTGCTTAAAAAGCCTACACTTGATCCAGAGGTTTTAGCTAATTACAGACCCATATCAAACCTGCCCTTCATTTCAAAAATCCTAGAAAAAGCAATTGCTAACCAGCTGTGTGATTACTGAGATGGTAACGGTTTGCTGGAAAAATTCCAGTCAGGATTTAGAATCCATCACAGCACAGAAACAGCACTACTGAAAGTCACTAATGATCTTTTTATGGCATCAGATGATGGACTTGTCTCTGTACTCGTCCTGTTGGATCTTGCAATACAATAAGTGCTGAATATGGAAGATTAACTTCTAACCTACGTTCAAGCTGCTTTCAGACATGTGTATGATAGCAAATGTCCAAGTGATACACACTCCACCTGGACTCCTACTATAATGTCCATAGAAATCCAGGAGAAGCCGATGTGTGAACACAGCAGGAGATCCTCTGCTGGACTCACCACAAGCGAGTGGGGGGGTTGGTGGAGCTTCTAACACACTCCAGACGCAAAAACTAAAACAGGGAGAGTTTGTGGTGATAAATGCTGACACCAGTATGTCTTTAATTTTTTTAATAAGTTTATATGGCAGCCATGTTGTATAGTAAGAAAAATCTCCATGGAAACTATTGATGTCCTTTAATGTGTTGATCTGGTGATGTAGTTAACTTTATAGTATTTCCTCTGATCCTGGGTTTAGGGGTTAAGGTTAGGGTTAGATTGCAAGAGTGACGGCACAATTTCTAAAACAATCAACTGAGGAGACAGCCGCTTTCATTTGTGAAGGAAACAAGTCTCATTTACATCAACAGTTTCCAAACCTTCTTCCTTTGCCAAAATGGACACTGTGGTAAGATTATTTAACCGATGCTCTTTGCCAATCTGCTTTTGACTGCTACTGATTCATGTTTTGTCTAAAGCTCAACTACACATAATGTTTGTTGAGTAAATACATCTATTATACATTAATGCACGCCTTAAATGCACCACCTGCAAATGTAAAGCTTTGCAGCCAATTCATGGTCTATTTGAGACAATTTAAAACCTTACGTTTGTTGATTTTAATTGAAGACTTTTTAAGGAGCTGCASGAACCCTGGTTAAGGTGGGAGTGGGGTTTTACTCAAGAATTCCATGTATGTTTCTTTTTTTCAGGCTTGTGGACCAATGCAGGTCCAGAAGGAAATTGATGACCTTACTAAAGCCATAGCTAAGGCTCAGGCCAAGCTGGCTACAAACGACCAGATGATCAAGAGCAGTGAGGCCAGATGTAAAACTCTGAAGGCAAATATGCACTACAAGACAGTTAAGGCTGATCAATGCTGGAGCAGGGCAGAGGCTCTGGAAAAGGCCAATATTGCTCTGAAGGAGGAGGTGGAAGTTTTAAAAAGAGAGAGGAGCTTGCTTCAAGACGAGCTCAAACGCAAGGATGAGCTCATAATATATGTGGTTGAGTCAAGGCAGGCTCGCATAAGATCCCAGGTTGAACTCATGGTCAAGGTAAAGAGCACTGAGGCCAGGTGTGCAGCTCTGGAGGCAAACCTGGTGCAGAAACCTGGAGGCTCTGGAAAAGGACAATTTGGCTCTGAAAGAGAAGGTACACCTTTTGAAAAGTGCGCAGAGCCAGCTTGAGCTTGTGATAACAAAGATTGAGAAAAGGCAAGCTCACAGCAAACAGAGTAACCAAAGTGATTCCATGCCTGAGGTGACTTTAAACAAGGAGCCCCAGACCAGCGAGTATGAGCGTGAGGACACACCTGAAACATCAGAGGGAAATCAGGAGCTGGCTCAGATTGAGGAAGAGTGCAGCAGTGAGGTGGAGCTGCCTCAGGCCGAAGCAGAGTGCAGTGGTGAGGTGGAGCCGCCTCAGGCCGGAGAAGATTGCAACGCTGATGTGGAGCCGCCCCAGACCGGAGAAGAGTGCAGCGGTGAGGTGGAGCCGCCTCAGGCCAGAGAAGATTGCAGCGGTGAGGTGGACCTGCATCAGGCCGCAGAAGATTGCAACGCTGAGGTGGAGCCACCTCAGGCCGGAGCACAGTGCAGCGCTGAGGTGGACCTGCCTCAGGCCAGGGAAGATTGCCGTGGGGAGGTGGAGCCGCCTCAGATTGAGCAAGAGTGCAGGCCTGAGGGAAGTTGCAGCGGTGAGGTGGAGCTGCCTCAGGCCGAACCAGAGTGCAGCCGTGAAGTGGAGCTGCCTCAGGCCGAAGCAGAGCACAGCGGTGAGGCGGAGCTGCCTCAGGCCGAAGAAGAGTGCAGCGGTGAGGTGGAGCTGCCTCAGATTGAGGAAGAGTTCAGCTGTGAGGTGGAGCTCCCTCAGGCTGGAGAAGAGTGCAGTGGTGAGATGGAGCTGCCTCAGAGCGAAGCAGAGTGACTAAATGAGATTGTTTGAATCAGTGATGGGGTGAAAATGAGGTATCACACACGTAGAGGACACCGACGAAGATGTCAGGAGAGCTTGTGGTGATAAGAGCTGACTCCAGTATCTATGTGTTTAATTTTTTTTTTAAGTGTAAATCACATGATCTCCACCACAGAGTTTATATGTCACTTCCTGCCTCTGTCTCCTGCACCCGGCTGCTCCAAATTTGGCCTGATTAATGCAGAGGATTTGTTGCCATAAATGTGTCTGTGCAGAGAACCTCCCGCTGTGTTGGCAAACTGCAGGTAAACTCTGGATCCAGTTCTTGGGCCTTTACCCACAGGTCATGTCTGAAAATGGCTTTAGATTTGACCAGTGATTTCAGTGATTAACAATCAACTAAACAATGTTTTTTTCTGTAGTGTCCTGCCTTAGCCAGTAACATCATTTTTATTGTATGCTCCTCATCTAATAAATATTCATTCTACTAGTTGGTTGTTTGCTGATTATCTGTATTGTGTGTGTGTGTGTGTGTGTGTGTGTGTGTGTGTGTGTGTGTGTGTGTGTGTGTGTGTGTGTGTGTGTGTGAGATAATGCATGATGAATTAAAAATAATTCATCGTCCAAGATGCTTGTAGCCGCTGCCCCTTGAGGATGTGTTCTGTTTAGGTCCAGAGCCTGAATTCATCTTTTGTATACAGTCTGTTTAATAATGTGATTAGTTATGCTTACCTGCTTTGTGTCAAAATGGCTTCTTTGAAAAAGTCCATTGCTGACTTCTCAAAGTTTCAATACACTAGATGCAACTGACGGTCATATCCAATCCGACGCTGCCAAGTACAGGAGTTCACTGATGCACTGTTATGAGTTAACATATAAAAATGCAGCCATCA